TTTATCAAGTCCCAGTATTAAAGGCAGTCCATGCTCCAGCACAGCTCTGATCCTCTGCCTGTCAGCAGAGGAGCCAGGCAGCAAGTATTTATGCTTTCCTATGCTAGTGCATTAAACACTTGAAGGCCTGTTAGCAGCCCTTTGCTGCTGCTGCTGCTGCTGTTGTTGTTGTCAGGTTAGCAGAGGCAACTCTCAGATGCTAGCACAGATCCAAACGACAACGACCATCTACTTTGACAACTGCTTCTGCTCTGATGCAAGAAGTGTTCCATTCAGTTCCAGCAGCAAGCACATGATTTGTGGGGTGCATAGAGAGATTTTCAGGGGTTAGCCTCACCTTGAATTCAGTTTTCTCTCATATCCTGCCAGTGTGTGAGTAACAGAAGGACTCAAAGTTCCTGCCCAACCAGGTTGATAAAAGGTCAAGTAGGTTGCCTGCTAACACCATTCAACATTATGCTTCATCCAATGGGCAGAAGCCTCTAGGCCAGGAGGTATTACAAACCAAGCGACTCCACTGCTTTGCTCAAAAGAAAAGGACAAACCCAGCACTTACTTGAGCACTTGTGCGACTGTGTTTGGTCCATACCACTGGCCTATGGATTTCCCCTCTCCAACTCCCATCTGGGCTGCATTACAAGAAAAAACAAAATAATTTAGCAAATAATTTCATCTTCACTCTCCCCTTTCCCAATGCGTTAATGAGAGTTTGCATTTAATAAGACAGAAATCTAATTTGGAAACATTTTGGGGTCATCAGAATCTACCCTTTCATGAGGCAGCTTAGCGTAGAAGTTCATGCAACTTCTGAAAACAGTCAGCTAAAAAAGCTACAAGATTGAACAAGGCTTGGAGCAGCACAGCTTTAATATTAACCCTGCTTTGAGGGTGGTGCTCTAGAGACCTCTAACCTAACTTATGCTAGGATTTCCAAGCTTCAGAAAGGATCATTGGGTTTATCTACTCAAAAAGAGATGGGAGAGAAAAGTAAATCCTCAGGGATTGTAAAGCAAATCCTTCCCCCAAAAAACCATAATACAGAAGTCCAAAAAGCAATATTACCTCAGAAGAAATTTTTATTTAGAGTGTTTGATTTCCAGGAGCATCCCCATAACCACTTAGTCACTGAAATTGTAGGTACCTTAACAGGTACAGGAAAAACTCGAGGAGGCTCGTTCTCTCCCTCTTTCATTTACCAGGGAAGTTTGTATTAAAGTGAGATTCTTTCTTAGTTCACTTGCTACTTGTGAAAATTTCTTCATCCAGCAATCTTCTCACATTACAATATCTTAGAGACATCATCTACATCCTTTTCTCTTATCTTAGTTATCTAAGGCAAGGAAAGTGATGCTGAACACAGCCTAAAGCACTGGGCTAACATAAAGGTCTTCATGGAGTCACAAGAAAATCTATCATAACCCGTAATACAAAGTGGCAGTTCTAGATCATGTCAGAAAACAAGCAGTATGATATCATATACTAGCTGACCTGCTACTTTTTTGGCTAAGCTGCTAAAATAAGCATGGAGTGATGTTCTACAGCCATGGGAAATCTAGATAGAATATCCCACAAACTCTTTAGCATCTTACCTATCTGGTGAATGGAGTAGTAGCTATCTTTTTTGTCGATGAAGGCATTAAGTACGCTGAAATAATTATCCATCTGCCTCTTCCCTTTTATCCACCTCCAGTCTAATGCAAGCAAGGGGTTAGGTGAAACAGAACAGGTTATTTATTAGCAGCTGGAGACTGCCAGCTACAAAAAGCTCTCTTCCCTGTGCATCAACCCCGATAAGATTTTCATGTTGCTATCTTACTACTAGGCATCAGAGGCATTCCCAACACTGAAGAATGAATTTTAATAGAGTAAACCTTTAGAGTAAACCTTTAAAGGTTTAAAAATTAAAGTTTTAACAATTTAAAGTAAACCTTTCCACAGCCAAGGTAAAGGAATATCACCCACAGAAAATCAGAACATACAAATTCCACCTCTATCCCACAGAGAGGAAATAGGATTAGAATTTCTCATGGACAGGCATGAACTGCATGTTCCATGGAAAAACAGGTGCATTCATGACAAAAATCATCTTCCACAAATTCAAAGACCATCAACAACTATCAAAAAATGTCTGATATAGCGGCTTACAGATCAAGCATGAATAAAGTTCTAGAATAGAAGTATTCAGGTAGAAGAAACTATGCTCAGCAAATTAGGACCTCTTCACAGCGGTTAAAAACGGAACTGTAAACAGGAGTTAATTAACAATTGCTTTTAAGAAGGTTTTTTAAGGTTTTTTAAAACTTCAGAATTATAAAAAAATAGTAATAATAATAAAATCAATAAAACGTGGTACTTGCTTGACTAAATCTTCAGTGGATTTAGCTAGCATATCTCGGGGCTCTGTTCTGTCTTAAGGGTTGGACAAGGCTTTGCAAAAATATGGAGTCATTCAGAAAATACCTGACACTTAGCAGTATGTATGTCAGACTGCTGTAGCCATAGGTTGAAATATTAAGGTGGTGTTTTCACCTTACTGTGATGTGATTCATATCTGAATATCTCATATTATTGAAAGGAAATAGATAGTTCCTCAGCCAGAGAAGAATTTAAAGAGAACGGCTACAGCGAATATATTTCTTCCTCTCTCCATCCTCCCATGTAAAACTATATTTACCTATGTAGAATAGCAGATAGCAGGGAAAAAATAAACTGCTGGAGGATTTTCAATAGACTTCTCAATAGCCCTGAACCTGAGAAGACTCAGGAAAAATTTATGCAGCCATAGCAATTCCCAGCTGTGCCCTTCACAATTCTTAATTGTGTCTTGTTATCTGCTCTCCTTACAAGTATTGCATTTCTTGGAGAACGTGGCTTTGGAAGTCAATATGGACTGTGTACTGGTTTACCTCTGCCCAAATGCCTGCAGACTAAGGCCTGAGCAAAGATCATCTGGCCACACCGCAACATACAGCCCCAGCCAGTATCAGATGTGGGCCCGGTTCCTCCTGTAACCAAAAAAGAAAACAAATATATAAAGAATGGAACAACGGTACTAAGGGGGAGAGAAAACGAAGGCACTGTAAGCCTGCAAAGGTAGCTGGTTCATCCAAGATATGAAGCTGGGAATTAGGACTATGACAGCTCACACATTCAAGGCTAAGGAATAAACATACAGTTAGCAGTGACTAACATAGTGATATTCCTTAAAACAAAAACAAACAAACAACACCACCACACACTGAAAGGGGGAAAGAAACCTTCAACAGGAACTCCAAGCAACTCAGCTAGAAAGCAATCTGAATTCCTCATGAGCACAGCAGCCCTCAAGACTAGTTTCAGTTTCCCAGCCCGACTGAGAGAGACATTTCTAAACAGAAGTGTTTGTTACAGACCATTTCTTCTAATGCTCATCCTAAGTAGACAGCTCACCATGAAAAAATGACATCAGTCACAAGGAATTCCCACATCATAAGCAGCTGATGACTAGATGAGATTCCAAAGTGAACAACATAGAGTTAAGTCAAAAAACCAAAACAACATAATATTAGAATATAAGCTGGATTAGTTCACACTGGGAAATCTGAGACAAAAACCTTAAGGCTGAAAGCATTTCCATGACAGAACTTCAAGAAGAAACTGCTGCTTCTCCACTGAAGCTGTGGCTATTATTAAAAGCTTCACAGATAAAAAGTTTAGAGTGACCACAGCTAATGAGCTGTCTTACAAGCACGCAGTCAGCTGTGCCTTAGCACAACTGCTAGAGGGAGTTTCCTTGTAAACCTGCTTTTTCCTCCTTTTGATTCTATCCAACTGTTCTGTATGAAAAACACGGGAGGCAAAACACCCAAAAAGAACTATTTCGCTAACTTCTATTTGATCAGCAGAGCTCTTCTATAGTTTTGCTGGCAATCTAATGTATACTAAAATTGCTAATGCTTAACACAGTGAATACAAGCCATTCTCCTTGCCCTCTCAGGACCTTACAAGCTTTTTCCAGTGCGAAGATGGAGGGAATAGAGTGGGATATTTCAGTGGGATATAGAGAAATAGTTAAGAAAAAAGAAAAAAAGAAAAAGAGGAGGGCTGGGAGAAGAAAGCCTGAAAAAAACCACAAAGTTACTGTACCACGAGCAAATCATATCTATACCATAACAAGGGAATTTTTTTTCCCCTTTAATAACTCTCTTCTTCCTGCAGGCCTACTGCAGTTGCCTGCAAGAATTGAGAGAGACTCCACTTGAAAAGTAAGTTTTGCTCCCACTCAAATGCAAGACCGGGACAGAAATAGGTTCAGAAATTAGAGTGGGTTGAAGGAAGAAAACGTGGATTTGGTTAAGCTGGTACCTCTAAAAATTAGAGGCAGCTCTTTACACCGCTGAGTTGCTGGAGGCAAAAGACAATTTCTGTGATGAACCATCACTTTTATATGTGGAATTATGATCTCCAGACTGCAAGAATTAGTAAGAGTCTTTAATTCTAAGTCTAACATTCAGGGAGAGAGTTTGGTCCACTCAGAAAGTCTAGTAGAGAAGGAAAAGCCTAGATGTGCTATTGCATGTGAAAATTAAAATTACTTCAGTAAATATCATAGGACCAGTGACTTCCAATCTTTCTTGACTTACAGAACCTTAAGAACCTAAGAACCTTCCTTTGCTGCAGAACATATAAGAAATTCTTTTTTAACTTGTGGTGTGGAGAGCCCTGAAGATACTGGACAACTTCTAAGGAAAGGCATCTAAAAGAAACCCCAATCCGTGGATACATGCTAACGCTTTAATATCAAAGCGTGCTTAACTATGGCTCACAGACACAACTTTAACAGGATTAAACTGCAGCAAAGAGATGCTTCAAACCTTGTTAGCTAAGGCCTTTCCAGGGACTGAAAGAACAGAACAAGCCAGAACAACTATCAGGAAGTCTCTTTTCCAAATCTGAGCCATTTCCCCGCTGACAGAAGGGGATGACATTGACAGTGGGGACACTGAAGGAGCTTGGAATCCCATTCACATGCTTTCAGATTTATTCTGATACCCCTTCCATCCACTACACAAAAGCATGCTACAGAATAAACCATGCAGAATTTCCAGGGCTGGGGCGAGTTTTTTCGGGACTGTTTTTTGCTTTTTTAAACAGCAGAAATATCTTAAGGAACAGTCACCAATAAGTCTGCCTTTGAATTCACCAGGAAATGTTCCTCCTATTACTACAGTCCCTGTGTGTAACATCCAGTTCAGATATAAAAACCCCATAGTTTAGAGCAGATGCTTTAAGGCAGCCATTTCTGTATTATACCTCTAGCTTCTATCTCTTTAATTCACATCAGGCCCAAGAAAGACCATAATTAAATAATTCTTCACTTCAGACTTATGTAGGACATCATTAGCACTGAAAGTACAACATTTTTCCCGTGCTGCTTAAAGAAAGGAGGTTCCCAATAGGCTTCCCACACTCATTCTTGTGTCCTTTTTAAAATGATTATTATACCTCATACCTGGGGGGAACAAAAGTTCTGGTAACAGTTGCATAAAAAAGTCTATTCTATCAAGTAAGACAAGCGTATTTCAGATTTCCAGGATGGGAAATGAATTAGTGCTATGCTTGTGGGGATTGATATGAGTTTTTAGTAAGTAGAGATAACAGGATTAGTTATTGGAAATAATACAAATAATTTGTTTCAGAAACATTTTCTTCAAAATTGATGTCAGCATCAGGTTCTCCCCTGAATCCTGGATTACCATTAAAAGCCACACTAAAGAGCTATTCTGCAGCGGAACAGATGACCATTTTGGTAATGCCTACAGCGTTCAATGATTTTCCCCACCATCAAAAAACACAAACATTCAGGTTATTGTATTATCTTTGAACTCATTTTTGTTTTTATTAACACCTGTTTCTTATTAGGTCACATCAGATTATTCTGTAAATCATGAAATAGGCTTAAAGAGTGACCACGCTGGGCAGGTACAACTGCCAGACTACACTGCCTTACCGGCAAGTGTATAAGTCGCGGGGGGGGGGGGGGGGGGGGCCACGAGGGATGAGACCAAAACAATCAACTAACCAAAATCAACCGCTCACATCTCCCAACCAAATTACAGATGTGACATGGAATATCTTCAACAGAATTATGAAGTGTGGTTTCATTTTCAACAATATTGCTTCTAAACAGAGGGGGATGAGCTACGCTTTTCTGTATTTTGGTCAGCAACAGTATTCTTTCACATATACCTGAGCTGTCCTCGCCTTAGCTGTAAAATAAATAACACAGGGAAAAAAAAAAAAACCATCATTCTTAAAGCAACTCATCTAGTGCTCTTTGATTTAAGGGTCACAGTCATGACATGAGGCAGTTCAAGGACAGAGTCAAATTCAAATACTCAGTAGTTATTAAAAAAAGGAATTCTTTTCTTTTTATCTTCCTACTGGAAAAAATAATAATAATAAACCCAGTCCAGGCAAACAAAATAAGGTATTTCAGAACAGAGGGCTTTCAAAACATCATAGCTAAGAACCCTAAGGGATATCACCGTATCTACTTCTGACAGGAAAAAGAAAAGAGTTGCCAAGGTTTTAAATAGGCAATAATTTTTATCTCTTGCTTTCCCCTTAAAAAGAGAAATGTGCACATTCATATGAAAAAGGAATTTGAAGATAGGCACTAAGAAGAACAGAATCTTGGCTTACCTGTAGTATCTGTAATATCTTTCCCATTAACATCTGATCATCTCACAATCCTTAACATATTTATCCCCAATAATCCCAGAAAGAAAAAGGAAGCCTTGTTATTTCTGCATCACAGATGGAAATAGCAGCAAAACTCTGATGTGCCCAAGGTTACAGGTGCATGTCTCAAGTCTAGTACTTTCCACAAGACCAACATTCTCCCTTTCATTGGTAAGGCAGACAGATCCATAAATCCCAAGAGGTTTAAAAAAAAAAAAAAAGCCAATGAAAAGTCAGGAACATGAGCTCTTATCTTCTGATGAAGCTTTTGTGGAAACATTATCTCACTGTTAGTAAGCGACATAAAGCCTGGTTGTCAAAGAGACTTCAAAGTCTCCTCTTGAAATTAGCTTTCCTGAAATCAGCAGTACACCCTATGTTTCTACAGCTTGTGTTCACTTCCAATAGGAGGACACTCTCTACCCTAAATGAAGTCATTGGAAATCTCCCAGTGGGTCAGGCTATTACCAGTAGGCCAGCCTACATTTCCAGGACTTGTCTACAATACTTACCGATAGCAGAGAAGTTCTTCCTGTAGGTGAACCAAAGCCGAGAGGTCACATCCAACAAGATCTCTTCTTTCTCTAAAAATTTTTCAAAATCAAAAGATACACATATAAGATAGCATCAGACATATCTAAAACCCTCTCCCACCCCCCTTCACTCATGACAGCAGTGTTCTGTTCCTCACTCACTCTGTTTGTCCAAAGAGACAAAGTCTGGTTGAGGAACAGGAGAGCATCAAGTGCAAAAGAAACTTTCTCTTTCTCCACAAGGCCACAACTAACCAAAAGACACCATGGTCACAGGTCCATTTTAAAGTAGTAAGCCGTTTCCTCACCTTTCCTCTGAGATTTCCCCTTTCTTCAATCTTCCTGGCCTCATGCTGCAAGTCCCAATAGCTAATAAATGTTAGCTTTCTGCAGGAAAATATCCTACAGTCCAAAGAGATGGCCAGGCAGGAAGAAGCACGGCAGTTACAGTCTCTGCTTTGTACTTACAAAGTCCGCAGTCACCTTGCTCCTCAGAAAACAATATTCAGTACTAACAAAGCCCTCTGGAGCAATAGAGAACATCATATTGTGCATGTAAAATACCTGTAAAAACACTGTATTTTCGGCCTAATATCCAAACAGGTTCTTTGGTCTCAGGGAAGTCTTCATACTCAAACCTGAGGGTGTCATAGGTAAGAGTAGCTGGAAAGAGAGAGACAAAGTTACATATCCTTCATAGTTTTTCCTTGCTGTTTAAAAATTATATTAAGATTGCCTTCTTCCACAGAAGGGCACAGTAACTTCCAGACTGGATCAGCTCCAAGCTCTGTCTAGCCCAGAGTTGAGTGGGTCAAAGAAAACATTAAGGACTATCTGGCAGTGGCATTCTACTGTCTGCTTCCCAGCACAGGTATCACTGTACACACTAAAATGGTCATCAGCATTTAGGACCTAGAGTTTAGGTCCTCTTCTCAAAGGACCCAAGTGATTGAAATCCTTCTTCCAGGAGATGTAATTTTTGGTGGTATAATAAGAAAAGCATAGATTACATTAACACGGAAACCAAACCTTGCTTCTGAAGTCAATCCCTCCCACATGGCATCGATACTGAAAATAATCAACAGCTAAGAAGGAGAAGAGCTGTCCTTTACAAACATCACACTGTAAGACCTGAGGAACGCAGACCTGTGCTGAAGTGTACAAGTTCACAAGTGACAGGCATACCTGTATCCACTTTACTGGTTCCCTTCACAACATGGCATTGATCAGTGCCTAAATATCTGCCTCTTCTTACACAATGGCAGAGCACTGCTCATTCTGCAACAGAGCAAATCAGCAGTGCTGCAAGACAACCCTGATCAGGGTATCTTAGCTCTTCATGCAAAATGCACAGACAACAGAGGGAAAAAAGTTGGATATGCTATGCTCTATTAGGTCTGTATTTGTAAACAAGGTGCTTTAACGTGGTCTGGAAGACCTTGAACTGAGCCTCGGGGGGGGGGGGGGGGGGGGGGGGAGGGATTCTTTGTTAATAATGTGCGAAAGAGAGAGGACTTGTTTGAAAGCATCTTTGTAAGAGTATAATTGCATCTAATTCTATAGGCATCATTCTTAAACAAACCACACATTAAATTTAGAGGAGAACTAAGGTAAACCGTTCTCTAACTGTTAAAGTGACTATTGAAAATATTTCTAATAGTAAACTCGATAAAATCTGCAGTAATTTAACATGAATTTAAAATAGGGCAATGGACTGCAGGCCCAAAAGTTCCTCTTTGCCCCATTTTCTTTGAAAGCTGCACACCTCACTTTTTGCTTCCCCCAAAACGTACCTGCTTTTTCCCCTGGTGTTGCCTATGAACCAGATCACACTGTTCTCACAAGTGGAAAATGTATGTAGAAGTTCAGTTTTCCTCTCCATTAGTCTCTGTTTAACTTTCCTGAGCATTAATCCAGAGCATCAGAAAATAACTACTTGACCAAATTGTATTCAGAAAACAACAGCTCCAGAAGGTCACCACAGGATTCTGCTCTTTCTCCTTCCACAAATCTCAGACAACTTGTTTGTCCAAACGTAATGTAGGCTGGGTGAGATATTTTGCCTTCCTGCAGGTCCCTCATCAGTCTTCCGCCTCTGGGCTCTCTAATCTAAAACACTAATACCAAACATCAAAGAAACTACTAAGTAGCAGCAGCAAGACACCACCATTAAGACCAACTATTGTTAAAACAGCAGCCCTAGCAAGACAAACACAGAGTAGGCTTACAAATCTAATTTTTAATTGGACTCTGGCCTTAAATCTAGCACAAAAATTTTCAAGCATTTTCACCGTGTGAATTACTTCAATACACTCTACTTCAGACACATTTGAGACCGTATGGGCCACACATTCCCATCCTATCACATGACTCCTCAATAAAAAGCTAAGCAAAACAATTCTGCTTGCGCAGAAAAACGCCAGCAAAGCAATACAATCTTTTCCTCTCACTAAAACATTTCAGCAGTGAAATTAAGCATGTCTTTACTGTATACTAGCCAAACTTTAACTATCCACAATGGTCTACAGTTTGTATGTCTATTTTCACTTAATAGTTTGTCTTGTTTTGCCCCTTTCTGACTCAATGTTAGTGATGTTCTTCTGGGGGGGCGGGGTGGGGAGAAGCTATGATTTCTGCAGACATTTTCAGGTGCATTGCAAATACCTATCTTCATATGCTCTGACACTTTCAAAATTTAATCCACTGTGCTGTTGCCCAGGCTCAGCCTGCCCAGAAGAGCTAAATATTTTAGCAAGCAGGACCAAAACAGTTCAGATAGGGGCATGAAGGGGATTGCAGCTCACATACAGCTTTTATTTTCTCCTAAAATTGGAGGCAAAGAGTGTGGAAATAAATAAAACTAGAATCCACTAAGCAGAAATCCTATTCGAAGATACTCCTTTAATAGCTGCAAAAGTCAGGTGAGACGAGTAAACTTCTCCAACAGCACTCCAAGACTTCTCCCTCAAGAAGCCCTGAATCTAGTTTAAATACTGACCTGTTAGCACCCAGGACAGTAGAGCAGCAGCCTTCGCAAAAAATCCAGGCGCACATCAAATGTGACAACTCAACTTCCTTCAATGCACAGTGGATTTAGAGTTAAAAAGGCAAAAATGTCAATCCTGCAAATCATACTCTCAGAAAGGCAAGCTCTCCTTCCAGGAAACTCAAGCATGCTGTGTGAATCACGCAGAGCTAGGCTGGAGCTTTGCCTTACTATGTGCACACCTTGTGCAAGATCTGCTCTAGCAGCCCAGAACAGTTTCTCATCCCAACCCCTCCCTAAAATACCCTGACAGAAAAGACAAAATGCTGCACATGCCACTACAGAAAACCTCTATATTAAGAAACTCTGATGTAGACATTCAAAAAAAAAAAAAAAGCAACTGCATTAAATACTAGCACTAAGACTGAATGTCTCAGTTCTTTTCTCCTATGCATATTTTTAAAACTTCCCAGTTATAAGATAACAGACAAAGACACAAAACCGTGTCTTGAATAAAGCTCAGGAAACCAAAACTTGATGCACACAGCACGCATGCTCAATATCAGTGACTTTTAATATGAGTTCACTAAACAGAAGAACGCACGGTGGCCCAGAAGCACATGTAAGGTTACCGAAAAACTGAATTAGAACAATCTTGTCAGTGTGAGAGAACAAGAAAAACTGTCCTAATACATGATGAGATTTGGGTAGTGCGTGAAATCTTAACTCCTTTCTTATATTCTTAAACTGTACAATGAAAAAGCTGAGCTAGCTGAGCAGACTTTTGAATTCTCTGATTTGTGATGTCAAATTGCAGATGTCATGCTAAAGGCAACATGCAAGCTTACAGTAACAAGTCCTTAATGGCCTTGCTAATTTTATCTGTTTTACCGAAACACAAACAGTTTTTGTTTCGATCAACTTTAGGAAACAAAGAGCAGCAACACTCAAAACTTTGAGGACTCAGATAGAAATAAGTGATTTTCCTTGTGTTTACACAGCAAACAGCTGATGTTCACTCAGGCATAAATCATCTCGATTGCAGTTTGCCTGTACAACTTAGATGCTTTGCAGGAAAATCTTTTTTATAAAAACACTGAAGTAAAGATTTGGAGTGTCATACTGAAGGCAAACCAAACTTTGTAATACCTCCCCCCCCAGACTGCTTCTTGGGCTTTCCCCACTCTTTGGCAAGGCTTCTCTCTTCTGCACAGGAGCATTTGCCAGGCAGTGCCAGCAACAGCTTAGGGACATTTTCCCAAGTCTTCCAGCCTCAAATTAATACTGCCAAAATAAATAAAAACGAGGCAGATGATCATCTCTCTCAGCTGATAGAGATACACCATCAAGGCAGAGTAAAGAAAAGGAAAGTTATCAGATATAGAATATTTCAAAAAAAAAGTCAAGAGTTAAGTTGAATTTATTGCATTAAAGTTCATAGCTTAAAAAGGCTTAGAAAAAAGACAACTGTAGAACAGCCCAGACCCTTATTTCTGGCCTTTGTAGAAGAAAGATTAAGCCTTTTCTTTCTCCTAAGCCCTTTCCAACAAGATAAACCTGATTATCTAAGGAATAACATGCAGTTAAGAGACAGTCAAGGAAGAAAGTTAGTCAACTGGAGAATAGCTTTCTCTTGGAGGCCCAGAACAAACAGTTCAAAGTCTGCCACTGAGGTCCTCAGACCCTCTCAGAAGCAGCACTCCGAGGAGAAGGCTCTTGAGCTTTCCTTGCTTTACAGCCCAGAAACCAATATTGTTTTGCCTACAGCAGATTCGGCTGGGTGAAGTCCTGCCATCTTCACAGCAAGGTTTTCTTGACTTGTTAAATCTTGTAAAGCTTATAAAAGGGTAAAGCAAATCACATCTATTGGCTCAGAGTATGTTATTTCACGTGCTGGAATGCATTTTGTTCCCACGTACGAGAGACTGGATGCAACAACGTGCAAGGACACATTAGGCAGAAAGTCAGGAGGCTATCAACTTCCCTCACAACAACAGTGCCTGCATCAAGGACAAAAACATAGATAGCAGTCCCATGGCACAAGATCAACAAATTCCCTCCACATACATGCTGACATGCTCAAAACAAAGCGGGAGCCCACACAGCATAGAAAAACATTCATTACTATGGGATGGCACTCATCTCTGGTCAGGACTGATGGGAACTACTACTACATGAAGGCTAGCAGGAAAACTAACATCAATCCAGGTCCTAACAGACTTCTTTCTCCCCATACAACAAAAAAATCTCTATCACAAAAAGCCTTGCTAGCACTCTCAGAAAAGGTGATAAATGGTCACAGAGAGCAACCACGTCATCTTATCCCTACAAGCAGTATCTCTACAAGAGGGCTGCTATGCCTTGTGAGCAGAGCATAGAGAAAGCTTATGCAGCTATTCTTTACGCCCTGTAATTTGCTCCCAGGCCAACATCATCCAGGTAGCACCTTTAAACAACATGAAACAGCTGAGCACTTTTTAAAAACGATAAACAGATATGATCAGAAGGATAAAACAGATTTACTCAAGGTACCAGACAAATACACTGCCAAAGAGAAGGCTCCCTTTTAGCATTTACCTTCAATCACAGAAGTAAGCAGTAAAAAAGCCTGAGTGTTTTTCTCACGTGCGTTGAGCCTGTACGCTTCCCAAAATAGCAAGTAGCGTGTACCCACCAGATACACCCTAAGCTCAGAAGGGACGTGAGTTCTGCAGAATCAGAAATGCTGCATCCGAGGGGGATGACCAAGCTAAGGACAAACTACCTACAAGAGGACCAAGGAAACTGCCATTCCAGGTACACGTTTGGTGCTTGCAAAACTGTCAGAGGCAGAGAGGAGAGATCTCTTTCAACTCAGCGCATTTTACCAGCAGTTGCACACACATCGCTGGAGCTAAAAGCTAAACTGCTAGAGTCCGTCAGAAGCAGGCACAAGGCATCGAGGACCTCAGAGCACCGGAAACTTTCCCCTGTGGAACGAGTACTACCTGATTTGCTGCTACCTTCTCTTGGAGTCAGAGACAAGTTTTTCGGCATCGCTCTCTGCAAGAAACATCTTCAGTTTTTTGGAACACGCGTCTCGGCCTTTCCTGCCGCTGACAAAAGGCCTGGAGCACACAAGCCAGTGCTCTTCGCCCGCCTGCCCCTCCTCAGCCAGAGCCCAGAGGTGGTTTCTGTCAGCCTGGCCCGCC